AGACGACGAATGCGAGCCACGACGAATGCGAGCCCAAAGCTTTGCCGAGTTTTGCCGAAGCACATGCTGCATTGGCAAAAGTGAAGTCGTTCTCTTATGCGCATAATATTAGTGAACGTGACGAGGAAAACATTTTGAACGTGGAAAGTGCTCTGTTTGGTCTAAAACGTAAAGTTTCGACAAACCAGTTGTCCATTAAAGACTTTTTTGGTAAAAAGAAGTAACTTTGAAAGAGAAACATTGTTTTTTTAAAAATTTTAATGCTTTCCCGCATTCATCGTTTTTATTTCCCACCCCCGCCGAAAACGATGCATCGAGGTTTCACTGTATTTTATTGTGCTTTCTACTATCCTATATACAAATCAGTGGAGGGTGTTGACTGTCTTATTTTGTATAATACTGTATATAGTGTGCTTCCATAACTTTCCCTGTGTACTTTCGTGCCCTCTTTTAGGACATAGGTAAGCACATTCTTTTTGTTAGCACAGGGACCAAAAATCTTTACTCAAGAGTAAATTATTCAGCCATGAATATAATGCTTCTCCCCAGTCTGTTGCCAGGTTCTAGGAAGTATGAGCTTTACTTCTGTGCTTTTTATATGCCCTTGTGGCATAAGTGAAGTGTGCTCACTTTTAATTCAGTAAACACATGGTTGACAGAACACTTAAAAAGTCATGAGTTATGCCCATTTAATCACACTTTCAATGTGAAACTGACTACATTATTCTTGATAGGTAAGACATAATTTAAGTTAAGCCATTAATTTATATTTGAGGCACTGTCAATCAAGACTACATGGCTGGATGTAAATGCTCCAAGGAGGCTAACAAATAGATTTTTTTCATATAATAAACCAGCATGAAAAGTGCCAAAATGTTGCTATGAGTTTGGCTTGTTTCGTATGTTTGTAGCATTTGTTTGACAATGTATGTAGGTTCTGATGAAGATGTTCCTGTCAGTACATCAAAAGGAAAGGCTGTTTCTGCAAGATCACATTTCAGTTCAGAGGAAGGCGGTAGTTCAGATGACGATGAGCTTGAGGTTGATCATGAGGATGAAGATGATGACGACGAGGATGATGATGATGATGATGATGACGGTGATGTTGATGACTCACAAGGTATGTACTTTCTGTCATGTGTAAAATATTAAAGCAATTTCTGTGTATTAGGTAACTCAGTTATATCCCAAGCAAGATTATGTGATACCTGTTATGGTGGGCTTTCTCAGTCTGCATCCTCTCAAACAACCCAGAAGATAGCCGTCTTCATATTTACCACCATGAGAATCTGAAAATCTCATATAAGCTGCACTGTGTACTATGAAAATGGATTGTTTATGCCTGTAAATTTGAGGAATTTATTATATGGGAAATTTCTTTTACTTGTTTGCAAAAACAGTATTATCAAATGAAGCAGAAGCTGATTCTGATGGTGCCAGAGATGCTTTAGACGTGGAACAAGGCGGCTCTTCATCTGAAGAGTCGGCAGAAACCAAGCCCGTTACTAAGAAGAGAAAGAATGTGTTTGTTGAGGACAAAGAAGAGGATACTAAACACAAAAGTGTGAGTGTTTTTATCCATTTGATATTATCTTTGTTAGAATGTAAATGTTGTTTACAGGAGTAGGAAGGATGTCCATTGTCCTCTGGAGCAAATATAAAGGACATTTCACTCAGAATTAATAATGACAAACTTTTTGATGGAACAAAGCTTTCAGGTCACATTGTTATTTGAGGAAATTGCGCAGAGATTTTATAACAATGCAATTTAGTGTAGTAGTTTATAATTCCTGCTTGATTCAAGTATTTTAAAACATTTGAAAGCAATTAAGAGTCATAAGTTTTTTTCACATCTTCTTCATTTACCATCATCTTGATGAAGGCATGTGGTGATGCTATTTCATTAATGTTCATTTTCATGCATTGTTGAGAAAGTCATCTAAGTAAGAGTAATCTAGTCTTTATTCCCTGTTTGCCTTAGAATGTGTGCTTTTTACAATCAGGATGTTACATGCATGTGAAGCACCTTCACTTTGTATGAATAATCAGATTGCAGCCTGTGGCACATTTAAGTTCTCAGTGAAAATTTTTGTTTAATAAATTTGGTCATATCACAGCTGTCACTAAAATTTCTGCACTGTATGATTTAATGAGCTTTAGATTCAAGGGCAGAGTGTAGTGTAATGTCCAGTGTATGTGGGCATTTGTGTATAATGTAAATTTGTCTCTTGCAGAAAAAACAAGCTGCTAAGCCCTCTTCTGTAAATGGAGCAGAAAAGGTGAGCTATAATGTAATATTTCCTTTTTTATTTACTGCATTGGCATTATCATACAGAATTTTGTATTGGATATTGATGGAAATTATATAAACTGCAGGAAATTCATAAATTGTAAGATTAGTACTTATGTTTGCCTTCATTCTTTACTTACACTCAACAAATAATGTAGGTAAATTATTAAGCAATATATGAACATTTTTATAATATATAATTTCTAGAAAGTAAAAATATTCGGTGTTGTGATGCACAAGTTAAAAATTGTTTGTCAAACATGAAAGATTTGCTTTGAATAAGTACTGTTTTCAAAAAGTAATGTGATATCTTCCACGCTGATTTGCTTTTTCTTCAGTGATATTACACTTTTTGAGTAAACTTTTGAACACTGCATTTTTAATGTTATAAACACATGCTAGTGTTAATTTTTGGAATTTTAAATTTATATGACTTGTATTGTGATGTTTGCATTGCATAGAGCTTGTGTCTCACCATGAATATCCTGCTATTTCCTGTTGTATGCTTTCATGCCTTATAGTAAGTCTTCTTGTTGATATTTAGGATGACAGTAAAGATGAAGGAAGAAATGAAGAGAGAAGGAATTCCTGGGAGGATAGGAGAGGCTCATTTCGTGGTAGAGGTGGATTTAGAGGAGGTAGGGGTGGTTCCTGGGGCCAGGATAGGGGAGGGCGCGGCTTCCGAGGTGGCCGAGGAGGGTTCCGGGGTAGTCGAGGGGGCTTCCGTGGTGGCCGAGGGGGTTTCAGGTACAGTGATGGTGGAGATGGTTTCAGAGGTGGAAGAGGAGGCGGTTTCAGGGGAAGAGGTGGTCGTGGAGGTCAGAGAGGAGAATTTAGAAAGAGTTTTGATGGTAAAAGTGGCCAGGGAGATTTCAGGAATAGTGAAAAGGATGGTGGATTCCAGAAGGACTCTCAGCAGCAAGGAAAGCAAGAAAATTAAGATTTAAGGTGAGTTTACAGACATTCTGTGAAGTTATTGTAGCTCTTGCATCCTGTTAACGGTATCTTCAATCTTCCTAGCCTCTTCTCACGTCACCAGCAGTGAAGATTGCATTTGTGAGAAGAAGGCATCTGAGACACTGCTACTGTGAGTGGTAAGATTGTCAGAAGGTGCCTGGCAGAGGGGACCTACAATTTGACTAGTGTCCTGAATCACAGTGATAGCTTGGTATGCCTTGTTTGTTTACACAAAAAATTGTACTTTGTTAGGGATGTGGAAAAGGGAATGGCATGCAGATAAATCAGCAGTCTACAGGACCTTTGGCAGTTTATCCATGCAATATGAAGTCCCTGTTTCCACTTTGAGGATTTTCGTAACAGCCTTAACCCTTTGCGGTCTCTGTCGTACTGAGTCTGACATTTAAATACCTGAGTTCCGTTCTGATGTCAGACTGAGTCCGCCATGTAGTTACGCATTTTTTACTTGATTTGGCAAACAATGTCAGCATATCATTCAAGCCTTCTTCTTTTTACTAGTTCTATCCTAGTTTTCCTGGTAAGACTTTGTGTACCTTATAATAGTGAAAGGAGGCAGGAGAGAAAAGTCGTTTTTTCTTACGCGTGTCCAAGGAAGCCAGGATTCCACACCAAGTGTTTTGCCATACATCATATACTGAAGGAATACCATCATGTATTCAGCCATCATATTTACTTAGAATAGAAGTACTTAATATCTGATAAAATTATAAAACAAATATCCCATCTTCCCAGTAGGAAATTATATTTTTTAATTATTTTTGGCGCATAGAGCAATCTACCACTGACATGTGCATATTCTTTCATCTTCTTATCAAGCATTCTTTATGTGTAATGACTTCTTCGTGTTCTGTTTCACTTTCCTGGTGTTGATCTTGGTCTTGAACTTTCGAACACAATTAGCTCGAAAGGAAGAACAACTCTGAGAATATGAAATCCAATTCTTATACATCGTATATCTGCATGCAATAAGAGATGTTTAGATGTCGCCAAAGTCATATCTACCGCCTTGGTCTTGCTTTATTCTCTACCAAACGACAGGAAGCTGAAAGGCAACACTTATTACACATCTCAATGGTACAGTCCGTGAAAAATATTTCACACGGTCAGTATTCAAACAAGAGGAGCTGTAAACTTGTCAGAACATATTTCCACCATATTTAGCAAAGTGTCTTCCGTTTTATGCAAGTTAAAAAGAAAATCAAAACAGTTCATAATAGTAGTTGAATGTATACAGCTTAGTGGCATTTAAATAGACCAGCAGAGAGCCACATTGGTATTTAAAAGGAGCCGCAAAGAGTTAAGTAGTGTCTTCTAGTTTCTCTTCAGTTTTCTCTCAGTCTCATATAGCCTTTGAGTACTTACTGTTTGGAAACCATACTTTGTTTCCGAGTGCCACCAGCCAAATAGCCTTTATCCCAAAGTATGTTAGAGTTAAAGTAAAAAATTACCTCTGCCTCTACATATTCTAGCACTGTTATAAAAACATGATCCTTTATGTCGAATATTAGTTTTCTATATAGACATAATTCAACATTAATTAAGCAAATTGGAAACAAATGTGACAGTTAATCCAGTTGAGATATTGTATTTGACATGCACTGCCAAATATCACATTCTAGTGGAACTGATAGTAACATTGTTATTGGTCAACAAAGACCATAAACCATGCATTGCATATGTTAGCAGCAAGCAGGAATAACATGCAGATTTTGTACTCTTCACTAAATAATGTTAGGATGATATAATCAATGATCTGATAGGTGGTATGAGATATGTTCAAAATGTTGGGGGAAACCTGAAGGAAATAACCACTTGATAGACCTAGGCATTGATGGAATGGTAATTTTAATATCATTCCTGGATTCATGTGACTCAAGATAGGGCTGGTGGTGTGCTGTTGTGAACACAGTAATGAAACTTGGGGTTTCATAAAAGCTGGAGAATTTGACTACCTGAATGTTAGCTTCACAAGAAGGACTTTCATAGAATTAGTTAGTTCAGAATTTTAATGTTACTTGGCTGTGGATGTTGGCACTTGGTGACATCTGAGTCTAGGCATTTAGTAAGGTGAGGTTGGGGAACTTCTGTTTTTCTTCATCTTCTTGATTGCACACTAACATTGAATGCAGTTCGATGTGAAGTATTTTTACAATGCATTTGCATTTATAGATACCCATAAGAATCATCACTGTTGATTTTATTTTTAGTTTTCTACCAAGTAAAGTTCAGGCTTTGCAGGTCTGTTGCTACAAACAAATCATTTTGCTGGTTCTCATTAATTCCTTGATGCAGAGATACTAAGTTTTTACACAGAATGGCTTCTGCATCCTTTCTAATTCAGATAAAAATCTGACAGTCCAAGTGGCAGGTTAGAGATGAAGCCCCTAATTTGAGACCAAGGGTATATAATATGTTCTGTATGTTTAAGGCTGTCATGCTCTTGATGAGGTGGTTATAAGTGAATATAGACCAATAGGAGAATGCTGATTATCAGGAGGAAAACAAAAAACAAAGAATTTGCTCCAGTGTCACTTCAGCAGCCTTCAGTCTGTTTTAAGTCACCCAGGATTTCACATGGGTTTCTACGGTGCACTGCGGCAGGGATGCCTTTTGCCTTTCTTTTAATCCAGACATTTGTAGTGTGCTACTTGCTCATCGATCTGAGGCAGAATCGAAGAATTTATCATAAATAACACATTGTGTTAATCTGGTTCCTTGATGGTGTTTTTCAGCATTGTATTGTCCAAAATGGCATAATTAAATTGTGCATTCTGCTAGTATATTATTTTGTGAAAAATAATATTATATGGGAATGTCTTGTGGGTCCACATACTTCATCACACAACCTGCCTTACATGTAGATTTAGATGAAGTTTTGTATTTTAGGCCAACATTGAAAGTTTTATGATGAAATCAATTTTTTGTTACTATTGGTTCTTTTTTAAATCTAATTTTTTCACATACACAGCTTAAAATAATGACCACTGTATATGTTACAGCATACATTTTGTTTGTCTTAGGCCAGTTATGGACATTTTATAAATTTCCATTGAACATGGTTACAATATATATATATGCTGTAAGTGCCCCCCACTATCTTGTACTCTTGATAACATGAAATATCCTTGTTGCAGATAGGTGCTCGAGGTTGTTGGGGAGAACATTCTAACCATGATATGAAGTTCACACAAGAACTGTTTCTTGGCATAAAAAAATAAAGAAAGGAATGTGAAAGTTAACTTGGAGGTCAGAGTTTTGTGAGAATTTATTTTAATTTGATTTTACAAGATTGGTTCTGCCAGTTGCGATGTTTCATAACTGAAACAAATCTTGTATTAGTGGCAGGTGTGGACTACCATGAATGCATAAGATGATACAGTCATGTTTATAAGTATCAGAATGTATTTGTGTTCCTTCCAGTCTCAAAAGTGGGATATCCTTTTCTTTTATAAAAATGTGAACTACCGTAACCTCAGTGGTACTCGATCAGCTATGACAAATTTGTAACACTGGGTGTTATGTATTGGAAATAAAACATACTTATGTTTTTGTTGTGTATAGTTTGCATACCCTTAACCATAACTCTTATAAGGAACTGATGTCTAGAATAATTTTGAGCTCATTTTTGATTTTGTACATTTGATGACCATATTTTCAACTTTCTTGTTCTGTTGGTTGATTGTTCCTTCTTTGACTTCCATATTCTGTATTGATCCTCGCACACAGGAAACAGAACTTGTTCTGCCTGAAGCTGTATTTGAGCCAGTTATTTTGAATCTGACCTCTCCATATAACAATTCCCTACTCTTTTTAAGAAAATCTGTCATAAAGAACTGGGTTAGTAAGTGCACACTGAACATGTGGTCCGATTTCCAGAATGGGCTTGGTTTTTCTTTTTGCCATCATATACAGGTTGCATAGGTACTAAGTGGGCATGCTGTCAAATGGGTTTCAGTTGCTTTTAAAAGTTAAGATGACATGAATGTGGCCCAACACTCACCTTTTGTTTGTGTCTCGATAACTTTTTAACCTAATTATCCAAATTCATTATGTTCGCTGAACATTGCATTTCTGTTGGATCTGTCCTCAGTTGCACACTTAATTGAGTGATTTGTGACAATACATGATCTGAAATGTTATATCTTTCACATGTACAAAATATCTTCATGTGGCTGGTATAATGTTGATGTGTATGCTGAAGAGGAAAACCAATATTTTGTTTATTAATGAGTTTGTTGGGACTGAGCATTGTTAAAACTATATACAAATTTTTATGTAGCTCATAAAGCATATAATTTGTTTTACTGGCTCTTGTTATGAACTTTATGAATTTTGTCAATCAGTCCCAGTTAATGCCTATCTTTTAGGCATGCTTGCAGTGCAGCAAAATACCAATTAAAATTGTTACTTTAATCAATGCTTGTGACAATTTGAAAAACTAGATATCAGTGTGTCACTTTTTAATGTAAGGTGTGCTGTATCAAGGAAGGGTGGTGTTACGTATGTCTACATTCAATTGGCTTCCATCTAAATGTATGTATAAATATTTGATATCGGAATATAGTCTTGGCAATAACTTTTACATGCCAAAGTTTATTGCTGCAAATCTTTAGGAAGTATATTGTCAGACAATTGACAAATAATATTGCACGTGACATCACTTCCGGACTGAGTCGTAATTCTTAATCAAATTCCACTGTGTGTGTGAAAACATCCTAATTTTTTTCTGTTCTTAATTATTTAATTACAATTTGATGCTTGTCTTGCTGCTGTTAATTTGTTTTACAGACTCATGTCGTTTCATGTGCCAAATCTCGATACCGTGTGATTGTATCCGTGGATTTGTAATAAGGTAGCTACAGGAGCAAAACTATTTTGTTGTCATAGGAGAGACACCGTTCTTTTGTTGCAAGGATGGCGAAATTCAAGTGTGCCTCCAAAATTCGAGATCTCTTTGCGTTGACGTCATCCCCCACGCTACCGTGTTCTAGGTTTGTATGTAGTTATACAGATCTTTTGTAATTTTGTTCAACATGGCAGCCGGGGAAGAAGTTGGAGTTGCTGCGTTGGTATATGATTATTTGTTGAAGAAAGACACTTCACTTGCATACATATTTCAAAAAAAGACAAAGGCGGTAAGTATTCCTGCCAACTGAATATTGCATACATTTTTTCAACTGTATAGTACTTCGAAATTCGTAACTAACTAGGTTCGCATGTTCTTGGTAATATACCACGTGGTTATACCGTTCTCGACCTTTGCTTTTGAGATTCCTGTTTAAACCGTAGAAATATACGATTCTATGTATGGTTTGCAGAGAACATTACCTTTTTTATTTATGTTATGCACTCATTTGTAATGTGTGTGTATTGCAGAGTTTTGGTCCAAACATGGCAGGTTATTTCTCCATATCATTTAAGAGAAATATTTTGAGGAATTGTGTTCATTCCTGTTAAAGCACAGTTGTTCACATCTTGTGCGTTCTAACACATCTTTCACACATTTTGTTCCAAGCCATATTCATTGTTGGGCTTCTAAAATCGTTCGATTCCCGGCATTATTGTATTACCAAAAAAATATATTTCTATTGTATTCATTGGTATACCATTATATAGTATTCTGTGATGACGTTGGATTTCATATATTTTATATGTGCAAAATGTAGGAATTACTGTAAATTTCGTCACAGTTGCCTTAATTAGAATCGATATCAAAATCAGAGTAGTGTGGTAGAAAGAACACATCCACTGAAATCATCCATCCCTCCTTTCCTATGCTTACCACTTCTAGTGTTTCAGGTTTAATAAAAACACTATATTTCTTTTAATAACCGTAGGCAGGAAAAAAAAGTGGAAAGGTCTTGATTTTGTTTTACTTTTTGTACACCTTAAAAATACAGGTTATTCTTTACAAGTTAGTCCAGATACTGCAGATAAAATTTCCTGACACATCATATTGAGCCAGGATGGCTCATGCAATATACTGACTAGGTTGTTTCCGAATGATGATGGTTCGGTTCCAGAAATCTTACTTCTCCTTCCTACACCATCCAGACTAGGTCTGGGGCTCACTCAGCAACCGATACTATAGTTACTTGTTCTGGCTAGTCGTAGATCACTCATCATCATTATTCAAATATGGAATTCTTATATGATTCTTGAGTGTATTTAATGGTGTTGCATGTCTGTACTAACTTATATCTAGACCAAGTACAGTTGTACATTTATCATTAGATTTTTTAATATAGTTGTAAGCATGAAACATTTTGTATTCAGAACGATATGTTACCATGATTGGATACAAATACAGAGAATGCTCATGGTTAACTAGTTACAAGAACAGGTGTTTAGTGACTAATAGAAGTGAGCTTTACACATATGTAATCAACACACTGAATATTTTCCCATTACTTGATATTTGTTTTTGACACATTGTCTTTTTACCATATGACTTGTCTTCACTATTTTTTAACCATAGATACAACTGCAGGGTGTTGTTGATGTTACCTGTGCTGCATTATTTCATTTTGTTTATAATTATTTATTTCTTTATTTCAGAGTCCTCTAGCAAAAGGTTCTCCTACTATCCTTGATATTTATAAACATTACCAAACAAACTCATCACCGAAGAAAAAAGTTCAAGTACAGGGTCATGGGGTTCCAAAGAAATCTGAGTCATCTGACTCCAGTTCAGGTATGTTGTGTGTTGCATGTCATTTATGATTTCAGAGCAAGTGTCCTGTGGATCAAGTGTCTGCCTGTAGTTCATCTTGACCATGCTTACCTTCCCCTATTGTTACCTGAAAGGGCTATTTGCTATTGGCTCATATTTGACACCTTTCCCCCTACTCATCTAAAATGATTTTTTATGAGTACTGTGGATACAAAAAATGTCTACCATGTGGGTGCCAAAGCATATTAATATGAACCAAAACTGCTGGAAATTCACATATTGAAGAAGGAAAAGATTGCATAGAAAGGATAGCTGCTTGTGATTAAATCTTATCACACTATTTTACTCCAGAAAGCCAGAGAGCATTATAGTAAGGGAAGAATTAAAAGTTTGGTTGTGAAGATGGAGACAGCATGTTGCATCAAAATACTGCTGTTCAACCATATAACTACACAGTGCAACTATCTAGTTGTCAGTCTAAAAAGGCCCAGCAATTTTATAGTGGTGATGGGTATGCTGACTTCAGACTGCATTGTTGCTTTTCATTCTTCACGTTTGCAAAGCCAGCTTCAGAAATGAGGACTTTGATCTTGCAGTAAAATCTGCTTCTATGTGAAACTGGCTTAATGCTGACTTGGTGCCATATTCCAATGGCACTTCCCTCATTTGTGTTTTTAGATATGTTTGGCATGAGAAATATGCAGATTCCTGTTGGCCAGGTATGGTTTATGTATTATCTGTTACAGAATCTGATGAAAAAACTCCTAAGAAGCCAGTTACCCCACTTAACGGCAAAGTAGGAATAAAGCCACCTGCAAAAAAGTAAGTAAAATGAAAATCAGTTTGTTCTGCTTTGCTTGATTTGGTTTCAAGAACAGCTTGAAAAATTTGAATTGCTTCTTGACTTGTACATAAATTTAAATATAAAGAACCAGTTGTATTTGTCGTGTGTAGGGACCACTTATATGCGCTTCAAACAGCTTGAAGTTCAGTAGCATTGTGAGAACAATTTAAATTCAAAGTCCCATGGTTTGGTGTCCACAGATGTCACCTTTATGGGGTTTTTTTGGGTTTTTTCCCCCTCCCCTGCTAATTTTAAATATCTACATTTGATACAGAGCTTCCATTTGAGAAGCTGTTGAAAAATATCTGAATCACTTTTCTCACTAGGGGTTTTAGTGGAAGTGGTTTCAGAAATGTTCTGTATTCTGTACCGTGTATAAACTTTACCTGTATGAAAGTGCAGTGTGACAACATTGTTGTGTGTAATAGGATTACATTTTGTGTTATAGTTGCTTTTCAGTTGTATTGGATTCTTTCACAGAGATTCAAGCTCAGAATATAGCTCTGATGATTCTGATGGTCCACCAGCAAAAGTTGTTACTAAGTCCCTACAAGCAAAGACTCCTCCTAAACCGCTTCTAGTTCAGAAGAAACAAGCAGAAAGCAGCAGTGAAGATGATAGCAGTGAAGAAGAAGCAGCACCTTCTAAAGGTAACAGATAGCATTACATTTGTGTTTTCCTGTAAAGTAAAGCGTCCCACTACACGCCTATGTAGGTGCTTGTGGGGAGTGGAGGTGTAGCTCCTACTCTTTCTTGACCTCGGCACTAGATGGGGGTGAGTGGTTGGCATCACGCCCCGGCCGCGCTTTACCCCCGGAAAAGGACCCCCGGTACCCATTGGACAGGAGGCTGGGTGGACCCCAGAGCAAGTCTGGACGCAGAGGCTAGAGGAACAGTCCTCTGCCCCTGTCGGGATCGAACCCTGGTCACCTCAGCCCGTAGCTAGTCACTATACTGACAACTGTCCTGGCTCCCGTGTTTTCCTGTTGTACATTAAACTTTATTAACCATGTATCACTGCTTACATATATTCCATTTGCCAATGTGCCACAGTAATATACCACCGTTATATTAAATTGCCCTATAGTATGGGGGTTTAAATTCCCTTTTCCTGTTTGATAAATGTTCACTACCTCTGATAATAAAACTAAAGGTATGTGCTGCTAATACCAAAGCCGGCCTTCAGATACAGTCCTCATCAATTTCAGAGCCTCACAACACATTTCTTCTTGGTAATATCCCCCATCATCTAGGAACTGGCTTTTGAGGGATTTTCCCCCCTCCTGCCGCAAACTGTATTGAGTTATATTTCTCCAGTACAGCCTCTCTTAAACTCATCTGCCTTGATTAAGAAAGTGTTGACTGAAATAAAAAAATATAAAAATATATTCATCGCCCTGATGACGGAGGCAGTATGACCTCTGAAACGTTGGTAAACATCGACCAGACTACACAGCGCAACAACCCAGAAGACGGATATCTTCAAAAAAATATAAGTTTGCTTTATACCCCATTCCGTTTTGTTAAAACTAATAAGTACTTACTATATTATTAACACGAATAGTGTTTGTACTTTCCATATCACATCAGTCTTGGAACATTCAACTATTGCTGGTACATTTCTGTTCTGGAAAAGGTAATTGGCTGTTGGTAAAACTAATGCACTGTACAGGTATATATTTTCTTGTTTTGTTAAATGATTCCCGAGTTAAAAAATTATTCAAATTATATTTTAATGTTGTACATAAAACTTTGGGTATAAGTCCATAGACTATGAAGTTCTCTGTATGTTTCCAGTGTAAGCAGTGGAGAATTTCCTTTGTTCTTGTGCATTGACTGATTATTTCATTTTTGTATTCCATATTCTCATCAGCTTAAGATGCTGGTAACACACAGCTATAGCATTTGTCATCAAGGCAATCAGACCATCTCACTTTGCCTGAGTATAATTGGAGTTTCAGACATTATTTAGATTTTATTTTGCATTGATATTAAGCTGCAGCAGTAGAAGAACCAAAAGCATTATTGCATATTCAACAATTTGACAAAAACAAAGTTCTATATGTATACATAATCAGTAAGGCAGTGACTTGAAAGTTAAGATTCATGTGCCACCTCTTCATGTCAATTTAAAATAATAAGTCTAAGTTACTTGAAGTGTTCGTGCTGTGACTCAGTGTTGCTAAAAATGGCAGGCATCCTATGCTACTTCTCTCGCTTAGTATTTCAACATAAGGGGTTAACTTCAAATTGTAGGTAATGTCATTTGAAGTTGTTTTTTTCTGTAGTGCCAGTCAAGACTCCGCCTACAAAATCTCCTGCTGGGCAAAAAATCCCTAAGAAGGCACCTGTAGTTCAGAAGAAACAAGAATCTTCAAGTGAAGAAGAATCATCTGATGAGGATGAGCCAAAAGTTAAAGTAGTACCCAAGCTTTCCAGTAAGTCTCCAAGCAGACCCCCAACAAAACCTGCAGCACTAGCCAAACAACAGGAATCCAATTCAGAGGATTCTGATGACAGTAAGTGTGTGAATTTCAGTTTCAGATAGTATATTTTTCAATTCAAATTTATTTATAGAAACTTGTTCCCTTCCCATCCCAGGAATCGAACCCCACTTCTTCAGCCCATATAGTGTAATTTGTTGACTTGTTCACAGTTCCAGATTGCTTATTGAAAGCAAGTCGAAAAGCTTTGTAACACTTGCAAGTACTTTTTGTTTTCTTTTGTGAAATATATTCCCTGTTATAATGAATGAAGTGTGGAAGTGTAATAGTAATACAGGATGTCTACAATGAAATGCCCGAATTTTATCACATTCTCAGGAAGTAAGGAATAGAGATATGGCCTATTTATTGACAAATATCAGTCACACAACACATCAAGTTTAATTAAAAACATCAATACACTTGTACATGAGCACCGTTGGTGACACGTAGGATATCTAGCCTGTAATTGAGTTCCACCCAGGTCCGCTGCAACATGTCCGGAGTGGTGGTACCGACAGCTTCCATCTCGTCCTATCCAACAGCCTGGAAATGTTGCATTCAGAGCTCGCTGCATAGGGACGCAACCGCACAGTCGCTCGTGGCATCTGCAGTTCCCGTGAAGCCCGACGAATTGACTTCCTTGGACTTCGGATGAACGCTTGACAGACGTTCTCTACCTTCTCATCGGAGCCACGTTGCCGCCTCCTCCATGCCTTTTCAAGATGCTCCCAGTCTCCAGAAACTTGTGTCATGCTTTGATCCTCTTGGTGTCTGGTGCTGCTTTCTGATAAACACGAAACTCCCTTTGCACCCTCACAATAGACTTACACTCAGAAAACCACACAACTCGTGCCTTCTCCTGAGCTGACGCCATCTTTGCGTGAAATGACAACAGTGCCCCAAGGGTGGCCTGTGAGGTGGCCTAAGAATTTAGGCAGGAATTTGAACACCTGTAGTACGCAGGAGACCCTTAAGACTTGAAAAAACCATTTGTCTATTTTTACAAACTCTCCAAAATCAGGGCGTTCCATTGTAGACACTCTGTATATTAATTTTGTGTGGGTGAAACTGTGACATGATGGGTAAATTTTGTAAAACTTATCAGTGCTGTATATGAGATTTCTTTCTTTAAACATTGATCTTTTTCATTTGAATTTATGTCGCATTAGTAAGATCAATGACTTGCTCTTGCAATTTCTCAAGAGTTAAAACTAACAGTTTGTTGTTTTTCAACATAAATCATGTTGCCATGGAAATATTCTAATAACGGGGATGGTTTTGAAATAAAATATCAACATGGAATTATAAAATATTAGTAATGAATTTGTATTTCTGCTAATGTTCATGTTATTTGTTTTGCAATATTTCTATAGGCTCTGAGGAGGACACACCAACTGTTAAGGTTCCACCTAAAGCAAAGGCAGTTTCTGTCAAAATTGCACCAGTTCCTGCAAAATCACAGTCCGTCTCAGAGGAAGATGATAGTTCTGATGATGATGACGACGACACACCTGGTATGTAGCTTCTATTATGTGTAAAAGGTTTAAGCTATTCATTCATTCTCAGGTCACTACTATTCAGAAGTAGTTAACTTCAGGCAAAGATTCCATGGTGCCTATTGGGGAATCTCTATTACTATTCTGGACATCATGGTGAAACGGTGGTGCTACAAACAAGATTTGAAACCCAGGTCACCCTTTCAGTGGCCAATCATTCTCACTGTTATTTCATTAGATGAATTAATCTCCTATTTAACCCTTTTCAGTCTCATCATTATCGCTCAGCAACTCACTTGATTAACCCATATAATTATTGCCATCGCTGCTTTCTATTCAATTTACCACTATGTCATATTTCTGCCTATAGCCATTATATGTTTTAGCATAACATGGATTTACCAGAAAAAATTCAGACAGCTGGCTGGCAACTTGAATTAGCATGGCCGTTGTTTGAATACATCTGTGCAGTTGTTTTATTTTTGTATTGTTTCCATTACTAAATTACATGATTTCATTTGATGAATGCAGTTTCTTCAACAGCAAACTTCAAGTGCTTTGTATGGCTTTTGGTAGGTGACGAGTCTTGACATAACGATAAAAAATAAAATCAGTAAAATTGCAAGTTGAATTGAACTTGACATTGGACGTAGTAGAATAACATTTGTCATCAAGTCCACCATGGCACACTGGAAAATGTTAACATTATTTTGGGCCAGAATGTAGGATAATTAAAATGTGTTTTGAGGATGTTGGGGTGCAGTGGCCCTGCTTTTGACAAGACAGTGGTAAAATATCTGTTCACATTTTATAGAGTTTATCTTATGTTAGACTCTTGAGTTAAGCTGATTGATTTTCTCAGTTTTTCAGCATTTCAAACCAGCGTGAATTTCAATAGTCCACAGAGAACTGCTGTACTGGGTCACAAGTGTTGAACATTCACACAGTTATGCTCATGGTTCTGTTCTGCACGAATGTCTTTCAGCTCCGAAGCAAACAGTAAAATCTCCAGTCACGCCTCAACTGAATAAGTCAAACAAGCAGGCAGCCACCCCAGTTCCAAAAACACAGAAAGAAGAGTCCAGTTCAGATGACTCCAGCTCGGAAGAGGAGGTGCAAACTAAAACTCCTGCAAAGGGTTGGTCGTCCTACTTTTTTTAATTGGATATTTCTTTTTGAGCACATCATGTTTACGTGTCTCACTTATAAGCCCTTGAATCCATCTTTGGTTTTATGTAACATGTCTAAAAGGCCTGTTGGTAATGTAGTAATAGAATAGGTCATGGCAAGCCAACAGGGGTGTGTTTTCATTCATTATTCTGTGGCATATATTTGAATATGTTTATTTTCGTGAGCTTGAATATTAATTGCATTGGGTACTATGGTTAACAAACAGTTCTGGGGTGAAGTCCATGTGGTTTGTTTCGTAATTTTAGCCTCCAACTTAGATTGGAGGCTTTTACCTGGTGTCCTACGATTTGCGTGGGTGAAGCGGAAATATCAAACTGGCTGTTTGCATGGCGCTGTCCTAGGTTACAGCGAATCAGTCAAGAGAGTAAAGCGGCCGGATTCCGAGATCAAATATTTTGATATTTTCGCGCGAATCGCAGCGCTGGCCGGGAAGGCGCATGCGCAGATAAGCTCTGACTGTGCAGTACAGGGAAGGTGCATGCGCAGAAAGACCGTGTGCTTCTATTGCAGTCTCTCACGCAGGACACAACAAGCGATTCCCTTATGTCATATGACACCCCATGCTGCTTATCCAGCTCGCTAGTTATCGCTTACGTAGGACATTGCCTTATAGTTGAGCGATATATAAGAACCATTTATATCATTCATCTTCTTCTATGGCTCTCCGGTCCATGCCCCCCTCAATTCTCCTCTTCCATTCGGTCCTCTGTTAGGTCCTGTCCGATGCCTTGATTGAGGTTTCGAAACATCTTCCTTTTTACGGTGCAAGGTTGTTAGCCTTGCGACCAACCCCCAATCTGAAGGACCAGGGTGTCTGTCTTAGTCTGACCTCTCCCTAGGGAGGCCCTACCAGTAGCTATGCTACTGCCAGCATAGCTCTTGGGATCACTGAGGTACTCAAGCCCCACCACCATGACAAGGTGCAGGTACCATTAAGTGGGGTGTATCATTCATAGTAAGCGTGAATAGCATGCAGAAAGGAACTGACCATCATTACAAAGTTAAGTAGATCTCTTTTCTGAGTTTTATAGCATTTCAGACCAGTATGATTGTCAGTGGTCCATAGAGAACGACTGTGTTTCATCACAAGTGTTAAATATGCAAACAGTTTGGACATTTTTTGTGCTCATGGTTCTGTTGGCTTTCAGCTTCAAAGCACAAAGCAAAAATTCTAGTTACACCTCAAGTCACGATGAAGTCGAGCAAGTATGCATCCACCCCGTATCCTGCAAAGACACAGAAAGAAGAGTCCAGTTCAGATGATTCCAGCTCAGAAGAGGAGACACAAGCTAAAACTCCCGCAAAAGGTTGGTAGTTCTTTAAGCATATTTACCTGAACCGGTCTTTGGATCGTGATTAATTTAGTTTGGTAGGTCTTTGGCAAATTTTACACAGTAAATGTTAAGATGAGTTGTATGAGCCAGTTATGATTATCATTTGTCTTGTAATCCAGAAACATCTACGTTTTAATCCTTTGTAGTCGCCTTTAAATACCACTACGGCTCTCTGCTAGTCTATTTAAATACCTCTAAGCTATGTAAATTCAACTACTATTATGAACTGGTTTGATATTCTTTTAAAACTCTCGTTAAATGGAAGAAACTTTGCTAAATATGGTGGAAGTATGTTCTGATAGGATCACAGTTAATATTGTGTGAAATATTTTTCACAGACTACCACTGTCGCTAGTGAGGTGTATAGTGAACGGTGCTTAACACTTTGTACATGGTAATTTAAGACAGCGGCGCTACTAACGTGTAAATTGAAAGCCTTATTGTGCATTTATATGAAGTTCATGGCATGTAGGTAAATGCACTGAAGTGTGTTTTATTTTTTAACACATTCATGATGCTTAAACAGGCGTATCATCACTTTCCTGTGTGTGTGTGCGCAAGATGCGTGAGCTTTTTTACCTGTAAATAATTTTTTTTCAAAAGTGGGTCCTCTAATTGTAAAGCAGTAATGAAGAATTTCATGTTGGGATGACTGATGCAGTCAGTAAGAAAACTTGGACTCTGGTATGAAAACACAGTAGATTCTGCCAACATTCACTGGCTAATGCTCTGTTCAGAAGATTGTAGGATTTCTTCTCGGCATTTATTTTAAAGAGGAGATGTGAAACATTATCATGTGATCGATGTGATGGAAGTCCAGTGGGATTCAGAACTCGCCCATAAGTGAACATATATATGTTGTGATAATAGTGATTTACTGGCAGTCATGAATAATGTCTGATTAATGTGTAATTACTGTACAACATTTCAGTTATTCTAGATGATTGGATTAGTCACTTATAACATACTGAAGATGTGATTTGGCTTTTGTTTTCAAAGAAAATCTTAAGTTATTTCTGCTTCTAAATATGTTTAGCGGAGTTATATGAGGGTTTTCTTTATTTAGTTGTGCCAAAACAAACACCGGCTAAGAAAGCACAGTCAAGTTCAGAGGATTCTGATGACTCTTCAGAGGATGACAAAGAGGAACCTCCTAAGTCAGCATCCAAGAAACCAACTCCTGCCCGTCAGAAGAGGAAGAATCGTGATGAGTCTGAAGACAGCAGTGGCAATGGTGTTGAAGAGGAAACAGATGTAAAACACATGAGTGTGAGTTTTTACATTCATTTACTTTGCAATTCTTCAGGTTGTATGTGTTCATATATGTAGAATTAGAGAGGTTGTGTATATTGCATATTTTGTCTCTCATATCCATCTCTGCTAGTGTCAGATAAAACAGGGTATGTTTGTTTGTTTGTTTGTTTGTGGGAACATAAAGGACAAGGCACACCAAAATAAAAATATTTATTGATGATGGATTTGTGGATGATGCCAATTTCTTTCTTTCAGAAAAAACAAGCTGCTGAGCCTTATTCCAACTTTGTTAAAAGTCGTAACTCTTTCAACGGAACAGAAAAGGTAAGCTGTAATTTTGTCTTCATTAACTATTTTTGGCCTTGCCTTCTTCATGATATGTAGTTGGTCTCGCTATCATCTTTTGCTGAGGAAACTATGACATGGTAGTGATATGGATTAATTTGGTTCAACGCCCACCACTCCTCCGCTTTGAGTATCTAATTTCCAGGCAAGGAAATAATGGAAAGCAGAACTAAGAAACTTCTTTTGTGTAAACATAGAATATGAACTGAAGCATGGTAAGTTAATTCACCAGGGTTTTGTTTATAGCAGGGGCATTGAAATGTAAGTGATTTAAACTCTACCTCTATACAAGCATGTGTATTATAAATTCATGTCATTAGGCATTGGACATGTTTCAAAACTCATTGGTCCATGTAAGATTTGAGGTTTTCACAGCGGTGAGTATGAAGATTTGTCTTCTGGGTTGTCGCGCTGTGTAGCCATCAGGGCGATTCATTGCCCGGATGATGGAGGCAGTATGCCCTCAGAAACGTTGGTTAACATTGACCAGACTACACAGCGCAACAACCCAGAAGACAGAAATCTTCATTGGTCCATCTTATGGCATATATGTAGTTGTTTGCCTGATGTGTGGAGACAGATATTTGTTGGTATTTCTATTGACATATTAACATTCCTGTTTAAAATTGGTGCCCGTTTTATATTTCCGTACAACAGATCAGCATTCTTAATTTGTGTATTTTACGGTTTGTTATAAACAGGGCTGAAGAAATGTACTCTTGCTTAACAGCGTAAAATTTGTATTTGTTTCCTCGAATTACTGAATCCTGGTAATGCATGTGATTGGAAATGATGAAAATTGTCTAGTACAGGATATGAACCCACAGCTGTGCAAGTATCATAATTTGACTTCTTGTTTTACTGTGTAAAGTTATGTGGTTATTTGATTTGATGTTGTTACAATGTTTGAATCAGTGTGGAATACATAATTTTTTCTGTGCCCAGACAAAGAATTCCCCGTTCCGAAGAGTACGTGAAGAGGAGGTAGACATTGACCCTCGACTTACAAACAATGCATTTGAGAAGAAGGTAAACCATAACCCTATGCTTCAAGACTAGCAGACCAAAGCAACGCATGAAAGTATCACGTTTAAGCACTTGCTATGTCACAAGTTTGCTGCTGTGTCTTCGTAACTTATCCAAATACAGTGAAAGTCCATATATGCAAGTAGCAGATACATAGTTTCTTCCCCACAGAATACGTAAGTCGAGTCCTTTGACTGATGCTGATGCAGAAGATAATTTTATTTCTGGGGATGGGAAGTAAACTGAATTTGTGTGTTAAAAACGTGAATTGGATGTACAGGTTGTTCATAACCTGTAAGTAAGGCGGGTTTAAACAAGTTCTTTGTGGTCATGCACCAGTGCAAAGCAGTCAGTGATGCAGGTTTGTGCATTTCATTTAGTTACCAAGTTTGCTTGTTTGTGTTCATTATCAATATTAAACGCTGTTCTTCAACTAAACTGTGCTTCACATTCAATTGCGAGCTAATGGTTACTTGTAATCAGTACATTTCTACATGGACATGCATAATGGACTTTCATTGTAGAACTTTTTCTGGTTTGACTTTACTTTTATTTCAAGCTCACGTTAATATGTCGGGTATTTCCAAATTTTTACGGACTTGAAAGTTGCAACGTCTGCATGCATGGGGGTTATGGTGTGCCTCATCTTGAATGTTGCTGCCTCATTGTTGTTCCCTGCTGTGTGCTTTCATGCCTTGCAGCAAGTCTTAATAATACTTCTTGTTGGGATTTAGGATGGTGATGAAGATCAAGATACTGGATATAAAGAGGAAGGAAAGAAGAACTTCTGGGAGGATAGGAGAGGCTCGTTTGGCGGTAGAGACAACAGAGGCGGATTTAGAGGTGGTCGGGGTGGTTTTCATGGCCAGGATAGAGGAGGAGGAGGAGGTTTCCGAGGGCCGAGGAGGCTTTAGGCATAGTGATGGGGGTGATAATTTCAGAGGGGGAAGGGGGGGAGGTTTTAGGGGCAGTGGTGGTCGTGGCGGAGATAGGGGAGGTTTTAGGAAGAGTTTTGGTGAAGGAGGTCAGGGAGGTTTCAGAGGTGGTGAAAATGCTGGAGGATACCAGAAGAGGGACTCGTTTGGTAGCAATGAAAACAAGAAAATCAAATTTGACGACTAAATTTGAAGGTAAGTTAATGGATTCTATCACAGAGGGAAGGAACGACATACAGTTAAATGCCTGCTGGATCCAGTCATTCCTGAACGCAATATCTGTAGCAGTTCACGATCAAATCCCATTTCCATTCTGAGGTTCATATTAAGTCATTATTTGCTAGTCTTCAATTCATGTAAATCTCAACTGGATATCCAACATCCACAACATTTTATGTCCAAAATGTTGCTTGTCCCTCTATTTTCGTTATTAATCACTTATTTGGATATCACAAAGTGTCTTCATCTGAGTACCATACTTAATGCTATAAAAATGAGTTCTGGATGAAAGATTTATGATTACAAATGTGATGATATGTGAAATTTTGTACATCTGACAAATTTGGTAGCAACCTGTGTTGGTGGAAATCATTAACCATTTAAATTACTACATGTACTATGTGCTTTAACAATCAGCAATGGTGCAATTTGCATTTCTGGGTTCTTTATAATTTCAATTAGAAACAGGCATTTCTTAAAACAGTGTTAACCAATTTATCTTCAATATTGAGAAAAATGTGTTTTCTTTGTGATGTGCAATGAATTCTTAAGTATAATTTAAACTTCATCTTCAAGGAGTTACTTCTTTGTTTATCAACTTGCTACTAAGTTCATACTGAAGGATTTGAAGGAAAGCATACGTCATACTAAAATTCTTATCAGTTATATATCTATACAAATTAATTGAGTAATGTTACATGTGAAGTGCCTTTTCTATTGCAGCACATTTTCTGTTGAACGCACGGATGTATGGGTTTTGCAATAAATAAATAAAGTTATCAAGATAATCTGGAGTCTGTGATAACATGATTCAGTTGTAAAGGCAGAACCTTGCCTCTTAGAAAAATTACTGCATCCATAATTTGACGGATTCTGAGAACTGTTGCACTGTTTAACGATGAAACTAAGCCTCATTTTTCTGTAATTGTAAGCATATAATTGTGTGAATAAAAATTGGCAAAAGGAAGATCATTTCTACTCTGATATCATAGTCTACAATGAAAGTTTGCTATTCTCCCCCAGTTTTTCTTATTGGTTCATTATACTTATAATTTTACAACCGCATGATTCTTATGTGAAATGTGGCTCAAATTTTAAAAAGTTACTTTAATTTTATCGTACAGTTGAACAGATGTGGGGTATATGTGAACATTGAAAATGCATGTTTTCCACTTCCTTTGTGATTTCCCATTTAATTAATGCACACATTTTTGTTGCAGAGAGGTGCTCGAGGTTCATGGGGAGAACGTGCTAACCATGATCTCAAGTTCACACGAGGGAAAAGTTTCCGGCATGAAAAAACAAAGAAGAAACGTGGAAGCTATCGTGGAGGTCAGATCTCCATGGAAGTCAATTCAATTAAATTTGATTGAAACCATTTATAAAAGTAGGTCTGCATTTATGCACATGCAATATTTAATGGCATAGATTATCTTGCTTCAGTGGCAGGCATATACTGTCTTGAATGCAATCGGTATTAAGTGTACCTTCCAGCTTCCGCTGAAGTGACATTCTTTTGTATTATAAGAGCATTAATTATTGCAGCCTAATACACAGTTGTAAGAGGAAATTCCTGACACTGCAGGAATTCTGTTTTGAAAATAAAAACGTACTTCTTATGTGTTGTGTATATTTTGCAAACCCTTAATAATGAATAAAAATTTTCTTGGATATTATCCATCATCTAGTAAATATAAAACGTAAAACGACGTTTCGGAGATGGGACTCTATTTCCGTCTTCAGGTTCCTACTCAGTTGGGCCCACTAGATAGAGCTAATCCCTATCTGAAGTGTTGTTACATAAGTCATCATTTTCTGAATGGTCTCATCTATCTTTCTCAGAAGTCAGTAGAGATGGTGCTTTTGTCTCTGCTAAAGACTTGTGGTAGAGGTAACTCCTATGAGTTCAATTGAAATGACATGTCATACCTGCCATAAAGAACTGTCAGCTTTAGGTCTGTGGACTGTTTGCAATATCACTGATTTCTTTTTGGCATTTTTAGTGGGTTACAATAGCTGTTTCTTGGTGTGTGAAAATGGATGAAGATGCCAGGCAGAGGGCAACAAAGATAAAGACAAAGTTTGTCACATTAGCACATTGGTTAAAAGGTAATGCCACTTTCAGGCATTGGGTCTGCGTGGGGTAGTGAAATGTTAGGTTGAACAGTATCGTCTGAAATGTCGGCTTGTACCGGACCACGGCAGAATACGTCAGATGACTGGTATTACACCTAGTGCAGCAGTAAGCGTTCTTGTCAACCAATTGCCAATGCTATAATGCTGGTATCATTGGAGAGAGAGAGAAGAGAAGGTGGGAGGAGGGAGTAACATTAGGCACTACTGTTGTAAGTGGGGGGGGCATAAAGTTGGTTTGAGGCTACGAAGGTTCCCAGGCAGTGCTCGCTCATCCGGACATAAATAGGTTTAGTAAAGGCAAGGGATTTAGAAGGAGCCTGGATGGGTTAAGAAATATAGTAGGGGGGGAGTTGATCAGGGTCTTTGCGTTAATTTTGATATTGGCCTTGGGGGTGGCATTTGGGAAAAGATTTGTGTTAATATGGGGTGGCTACTATAGAGCAGAATTTTGATGCTAACACTGGGAGGACTGCATGCAGAGCAACGTGGAATTTGGGTACCAACTCAGCATTTGCTCTAGTACCGAGGAAAACCTTGGTCGAGTTGGTCGGTCGCAGGACCTCCGTGCCGACTTCTAGCCAGCAGTCCGGCATTTAAAATCGCGAACACTAGCCTCTGTCCGTGCGCTTCCTTTATTAAAAATTGATACATTTTTTCTTTTTTTACATAGGTGTGTTTTGGATAGGAAATGACCAACTTGGGTCATTGCTTATCCAATCTTCTTACTATAAAAATTTGTGATTAGTCGTTGTCTTCAA